ACGTGTCGTATGGGTGCCGCCCATCGGCTCGATGTGGTGGTGGACGAGCGCCTACGGGTCAAACATGTCGGCGGCCTCCGTGTGGCCGACGCCTCCGTAATGCCCAACATTATTAACGCCGACACAACCGCCGCCTCCATTGCTATCGGCGAGAAGGCCGCGGATCTCATCAAACATGATAATCCACACAATACACAGTTTAAATCATGGTGATTGAATCATCAAGTAGCATTTATATATCAGCCACAGTTTGAGTGTTTATTTATTAGTGTTATTTGTATTTTTATTGAATATATGTTTGTAACTGTTTGGACATTGAATAACAAAAACATATTTATAATTATATCGACTCTTCATTTGGTTTTCAAATAACAATTCAATTGTAATTTTAGTATAAATTTCTTTTGATTTGTAAATTTCTTGGCATTTGATGTCCGACACAGAAGTCTCGCGTAATATCTTTGTGGACACAAATTGTGAACATCTTCTTCGGGTCTCTTTCGTACCAATCGATGAAATCATTGATAAATCGGTGACAAAACTCTGTGTATTCTTCGAGATTGTTGTGAATCCAATAATTCAAACCAATTGTCAATAAACAGCGAAATTCATTGAGTTGTTGGCAAAAAACGGCTGTCCTTTGAATCAAGTCTTGGTAATGAATACTCAATGTTTTGATTGCCGTGTGTTTTGCTATCAAACGATACATTTGTCGAAAACATGTCAAACACTTGTATTCCTTAAGATCACAATCAATGGACGTGTGGTCTAAGCGAAGTGTTTCCAGCGCTGAGAAGCACTTCAATAGCGATATAAATGAGTCTATTTTTGGTTTGCAAACACAGAAAGCGAATGTTTTGACGTTTGAAAATTGTATCAAATTTGTGGTGTATTTGTAATCTTTAAAATCGTTGGCAATCAGACGAAGAGTGCGAAGGTTTGGCTGCTTTTGTGCCACACATTGAAAGCGTTGCCATTCGTGTGATTCTCGACGGAAATCGTATGAAAACTCATTCAATGCCATACTATTGACGATGAGTTGTAGCGCTTCTGCCGTCAAATTGCAAATAAAGAGATAATCCAAATGTTTGCCATTATTTGCGACCAGTATTTCAGCCATTTCTAGATCTACTAAATTGGAGATCACTTGCAATGATCTAATACTTTGCGGTAAACATCGAAATAACTCGCGGACAGTATTCCTGGCTCTCAAACGGATGCCTAATTTTGTCAATTGTGTCAACTCTCGAACCATGTCTACCATGTTATCCATATTCTTCGAGTGTTCGTAACAATCAATTGCCATAAAAGTAGTGACTCTTCCCGATAAGAGTTGTCCCAATTGGCGATACTGTTGACCAGTGAACTGATTGCCAACTCTTATATCTAACCATTTGACGGATTGAAATGCTTTGAGAATATCGTAGAGTGTCTTGTAATCGGTGGTGAAGTGACTGATTCCCAAATACTCAATGTTTGGTAATTTTTGTGACAACCAAAGGATTCTTTGGGCGTTTGATATAAGACACAACTTTCCGTCCAAATGAGTCTCGAGATATCGTAAGGGAAATGAATACGATTTGGGAATCACATCGTCTTTGGGTTTGAATGATAGTGTCTTCTGATGTCGGAACAGATAATTGGCACAAAACTGGAACTGTTTGCTGACTCTCTCCAAACCAATCAATTCATGGATAGACAGATATGAGAAGATCTTAAGCACCAAAACTCTATTTACAAATACTGTCTCAAAAATGCTAAATCTTTTTTTATTGTCTTTATTACACATTTTGGATCAAATATATGAAATACTTTTTGGTCTACTATTTTTAAAAATATGTTTAATAGATATTTGAAATTACATAACAAAATTAAACAATGGATATATTTCTTAAATATAACGTTTATTTAACAATAAACTCAGTACAACATGTTATGACAATATCATTAAAAACAATTTTATCTCATTTTCAATGCTTTAAATTGTGTTTTCAATGCAGACTTTTCTAATTCTCAAATTCCTGGGTTATTAAAGCAACTTTTTAAGATGTTTAGTATTTCCCATATTTTTTGTCACTAATTTTGGTTAAAAATTTTTTATAAATTTTTAAAATACTAATAGCAATAACTTCTTGTAAATAATGGTCTAAATTACAAGTTATTGATTTTGTAATAAAGTGAACATTTATTCAACAATATATCACATTTAAATGAGCGAGATATTTTTAATTAACTTATAAAATTGCATTGTTTTAATTACGATAATAATGAAACTTAACGTTAAGTGAATTTAAATAATTAGATTTGAATTTTTCAACGACTGATTTCTCAATCACTCAAACACTTTGAATAACACTTCTATAGAGAAAACACATCTAAATCTGAAGAAATGGTATCTTTCGTGACATTTGCTGTACTTTTGGTGATAATTATAAACATTGAAGAANGTGATGGTTGGCCGGCATTTGCGCCACAGTATTGTTCAAATCTGTCACATACTCTACCGTTGAGTAGGTGTATGTGTTTGGCCAACATTTGTCGGCATTGGATTGGGTCGACCAGAAGTACACAGAGTTGGTCAGCACCGATAGCGGTCCTCTCCCGTACACCAGCTCTTCGTACAGTTGTTGAACAGTGAGTTGAGCGCCCGTTTCATCCAATCGCTTGTCATCGACGGTCATATGTATGGAAACGCTCGGATGGTCTCGAAGATAGTCGCCCACCGGTAGGTTCACCAACACTGGTATTCCCAGTTGTGTTAAGTGATCTCTCGGTCCAATGCCCGACAACATTAAGATCTTTGCCGAACCAAATGTACCTGAAGTACCGGACAATGCATTATAGTGACCATGGTTAGTTTTATTTATAATGATGGTATATACCAGCGCTGAGAATAACTTCTTTGTTAGCCATCACGTGATACGTGCGTCCATTCCTCGAGAATTCGACACCAATTGCCGTCCATTTCTTCTTTACTTCGCTAAACAAAACTCTGGTCACATAAGCGTTGGTCAAAATGTGTAGTTTGTCGGGCCAGGGGTTGGGCGTCAGGTATGCGTTGCCAGTGCTCTGGCGAATGCCTTCGTAGATGAATGACTGGGCGATTGTCACTCCCAACTGATTCGGACCATTGATATCGGTGTTCGGGAGACCCAACTCACTGTTGAGTACATCATTGTATACACGAAGAAGTGGGTCTGGATTTGGATCCGTAAACACCTTAACCGGACCGCCTGTGCCGTGAAAAATGGTATTTGTGGCCACAACACTACTATCGGTGTTATTCTCGGACTTAACAAAATAAGACAACATTTCCTCATAACTCCAACCATAAGCGCCAAACTCTGTGACCCACCGATCGTAGTCCTGACGATTGCCTCTACTGTATACCATGTTGTTTATGGTGGACGACCCGCCTATACCCCTACCCCTCGGCACAGGCACTCTGTACGGAGTAAACCATTTCTGGGGAACCGTATGGTAACGACAATTGTATTCTGTGTTGAGCAACGATCGGGCGTTTTGTGGTATATCTGTGTCCACACTCTGGGCTCCGCCCGCCTCCAGAAGCAGTATTTTAGTCTTGCATTCATCGACCAGTCTATGGGCCACTACAGAGCCGGCAGAGCCCGCGCCCACCACTATGTAGTCATACGTTTGGTCCCAATGTTGCCGATCGGCCACCGAGTCGTGTA